AAGACAACTCAGCCATGTGAAGAAGCTGTTAAGGTTCTGTATCTTTACAAAATATTAAGTGTTTTTTTTTTTTTAATGTGTGTGGAAGAATTCATATGAAAGAAAAACTACAGGAATTTTTAGTGAAGACCAGTATGTATTAGCTACTTTCACACTAAATTATAGTGTTTCCAATGAAAGTGTGATAAATGAAGATTATGGTATAAGTTAATTTTTATGGCCATATAATTAAGAATTTTTCACATATATGATAAAGTTGTTAGAACCACCGAATCATTAAGGTTGGAAAAGATCTCTAAAATCCTTCTGTCCAATTGTCAATGCATTGCCACTGAGGGACATGTTATCAGACCCACTCTTGGATAGACTGGATCAATGGGCCAAGGTAAATTGTATGAGTTTCAGTAGGGCCAAGTGTCTGGTCCTGCATTTTGGTCACAACCCCAGACAACCCTATGAGCTTGGGGAGGAGTGGCTGGAAAGCTGCCTGATGGAAAAGGACTTTGGTGTACTGATGGACAGTCAGCTGAATATGAGCCAACAGTGTGCTCAGGTGGCCAAGAAGGCCAATGACATCCTGGCTTGTATCAGGAATGGTGTGGTGAGCAGGACTAGGGAAGTAATCCTGCCCCTGTACTAGTGAAGAGCTTGGAGAATGTCACTATGAGTAGTGACTGATGGAAATAGGGCTATTTAATCTTGGGAAGAGGAGGCTGAGGGGAGACCTTCTCACTCTCTTCCAATACTTGTAATGTGCTTACAGTAAAAGTGGGGCTGGTCTCTTCTCACTGGTGATGGGTAACAGTACGAAGGGAAATGACCTTAAGTTGTGCCAGGGGAAGTTTAGGTTGGATATCAGGAAAAACTGATTTTTTACAGATAGGCTTACCGGGTAGGTGGTTGAGTCACCATCCCTGAATGTGTTAAAAAACCATTTGGATGAGGTGCTCAGGGACATCATTTAGTAGAGGGTTGTTTGTGTTGGGATAATATGGTTAGGTTGTGGTTAGACTTGAGGCTCTTTAAGGTCTTTTCCAACCTGAGCAATTCTATGGCTCCATGATTCTACGATCTACATATTTTTGAACAGCTCTTTTGAAGGTGACTCCACCACCTCTCTGGGCAGCTCATTCCAATTACCACTCTTTCAGAGAATAATTTTTCTTAATATCCAACCTGAACCTTCCCTGACACAACTTGAGTCTCTTACCTCTTTTCAGATATTTGTAAAGAGAGATAAGGTCTCCTCTGAGCCTCTTCTCCTGATTAAACAATCCCAGGTCCCTGAACAACTCCTCATAATACTTGTGTTCAGACTCTTCACTAGCTTTGTTGCCCCGGTTTGGACAAGCTTCAGGGCCTTGGTGACTTTCCTATAGTGAGGGGAGCAAAACTGAACACAGTTCTCGATGTGAAGCTTCACCAGTTCCAGGTATAAGGAAGGCTATTATTTTCCTAGTTTTGCTGGCTATGCTATTTCTGATACAAGCTAGGATGCCATTGTCCTTCTTGACCACTTGGGCTCACTGCTGGTTCATGTTGAAGAGACTGCTGAAAACATCCCAGATCCATTTCCACTGCACAACTTTCCAGCCATCCTGCACAAAACTTGTATCACTGCATGGGTGTTCTTGTGCCTGAAGGGCAGAACCTGGCTTGTTGAACCCCATACAATTGGCCTCAGCCTATTGATCCAGCCTATACTGATCCCTCTGGAGGGCCTTCCTACCAACAAGCATATCAGTGCTTCCTCCCAATTAGATGTTATCTGTAAACATTCAGGGGTGTACTCATTCCTCTCCTCAAGATCAGAAATAAAGATATTAAGCAGGATGGTCCCCAGTACTGACCCCTGAGGAGCATCACGGATGACTATTCAGCAGCTGGATTCAACTCTATTTACCATCACTCTCTGGCCATTCAGCTAGTTTTCTACTCAGTGAACAGAACACTTGTACACCTTGTTACCTTATTTTGTCATTTAAAAAGTAATCAAATAAACTTTATACTGAGTAGCAAATCAAAGGAAATGATGATTCTTTGATGTCCAGAGGTGAAAAATGAAAATGGAGAATGAAACTGGGACAACAAAAACATTAGTTCATTTTATACACCATTTGCTTTTGTTACTAGTGCCAGTGCATAACTTTATTCTTATATTTTTGAGCGGAAATTACTTATAAAAAATAATAGTGGAAATGAAAATCTCTTAAGCATATGTACATGTTTGCATACAAAAACTGAACTAAAGAAAGCATGGGTATTTCTGGGAATTTATTTTTCTTGGAATAATATTCAATTGTTGAATGTGAAAATCCTTCATCTAAGTACAAATATATCTGTTAAAAATCAACTTCATGTTAGTAAGAGTCAAGTTGAAAGGACTCTTAGATAAAAATAAATAAAAATAAATAGTAAAAAATTACTCAGAATGACAGGAACGAGATGCAGGAATCTTCCTTGTTAAACAAACAAACAAGAAACACCACAGAATTCTATTTTCTTTGTATTAACAGTGCAACTCATTTCTTTTGGGTCCATACAAGCATTTCTGAATAAATAAGTATTTAGTTTGTTACTGCTTGCCTGTTAAAAAAAAAAAAAAAAAAAAAAAAAGGAAAATTTTCTTCATTATGTTATGTAGCAGTGAATATAACTTAGTCTTTGTACAGAATTCAGACAAATTTAGGCATAATAACAAACATCCATAATTACTTAAATGAATTCCAGTAGATGCTTATACTTAGTCTGACTGCAGCAAGTAAAATTATTATTATTTTTTTTTTACTATAAGTAATGTGTAATATATAATCTTGCTTTCAGAATCTTAGGCTTTGTCCTGAATGGCTGTCTTAACTACTTAATAAAGGGCTCCATAATATTTCGTGGAAATCATTTATATCTTTTCCTTTACCTATGGTTTCTAATACCATTATGGGAAGACTGAACTGTTGTGTGTTTGCAAACAATCCATGTTTACAGGATATTTTATGTACTGTTCAATTGTTGGAAAAAAAATAAAATAAGAAACGACTTTATTATAACAAGCACTGCTTTTTTTCATGTGCTGAATTGCATCAAAGGAAAATAAAGCTTGTTTCTCACATGATAATATCGACTTCTACAAGATTCTCGTCTTTATTATAGGATTTCTACTCCTCATTTAGTGCATGTAAGTCTTTAGAAGAAAGTAAAAAAGAAATTTTGTCTGTGGGATGCTATTTCATTTGTGATAGAATTAGAAAGTAGGCAGCACTTTACATTCAATAATTCAATGCATTCTGTGGAAAATTGTTTGTCCTATTTTTATCTAAGCAATTTCTCTGTAAATGTTGATAATACTACTTGGTTTCAAGGGAAAATTAAAAAAATAAACTTGTTACCATTTTGGAAGTAGTCTTCTATGTGAATCTGAGAATCTTTTTTTTGTTTGTTTGTTTGTTTGTTTGTTTTGTTTTGTTTTGTTTTGGCTCAAAGTTTGCTTCCTGAGGCATTTCTTGTGATAAGACTCTGATTGATTTGTTGAGGAGGCAAGTGATAGGTGCTACCGTGTGACAATTGGCATCACTTTGGGAACATTTGAAAGCACCTTCCTCCAGAGTTGCTTACCTCCGGAAGAGAGTGCTCAGGAGTGTTTACTGGCAGAAGATCTGGCCTGTGACTAAATAGCTCCAGCTTGGTATGGGAAAATTGGGGAATTATACCATCGTGTCCTGTGAAAAACAGGATGCAGATGGGCATCCCATCTCCCTCTTATCTGCTGGCAAGGCCCGGAAGGTGGGAACAAAGGAGTTTCTGCTGAGATCCCAGAGCCAGAAGCTGCCACTCCAAGGAGAGCTGACTCAACCACTTTGGATTTGAACTGTCACTCCAAAGACAGCTGACTTGACCACTTTGAAAGCACTGAAAAGGGGCCATTATTGCTGTGGTCACCATCATCACCATCGTCGTCATCAACAGAACAACACTGCCCAATGACCCACCACTACTGAAGATCAATGACTGAACTATGAACCACGCTGGATCCATGGTGGTGACTATCTCCCTCTTGCTTCCTATAAAGACTCCTTGCTTCTTCTTTCCTATCTTTTCTACCACCCTCCTTCCTTTCCCCATTACCCTAATTCCTGATAGTGTCCGTCCTCCCCTTCTCCATCTCCCTAATTAAGATCTGTAATAAAGTGGTTGGACCAATATTTGAACCATTGCTTCTTAATCTCACGCCGGGTATACAGATATTAAAAGAACCTCCTCTCCCTCCCACAAATTGGAGTGAGACATCTTGTAACAAAGACCTCTACTGAAAAAAGAATAGTAGAAGTGTAGGTTTTTGTTGTTGTTGTTGTTGTTGTTGTTGTTGTTGTTTTTCCCCAGAAAATTATATTTTAGATATATAGGTAGATAGATTGATAGACAAAAAGAAAGTAGCATGGATACCTGTACCAAATAATGAGTTGAGAGAAAAATGGTTTGCTCCTGGAGAAGAACTATCTATCTTGGTCATTATATATGTATCTACCCTGGAAAAAAATTATACGTAAATCAGCACTGCAAGTATAATGAAGTAGAGAGAGGAAAAAGAAACTTTACTTTACATGGAATATTTTTTAAGACCTCTTCTAATGATGATATTCTTGACTTTTTACTCTTAATATACAAGTTCCATTTTCTTTCCTTTCTTTTTACCCCATGAAATCAGTATTTAAGAACTTAGTGTTGTACAATATTTATTTTTTGACATTAGTATGGTACAGAATCTGAAAAATTCTTTCTGACGTATGAATGATTGTGGTTCTTGAGAAACCACATCAGACATAACACTAGCTTTTCCCTATGTGCTTTAATTCTTATTTTAGTACATTTTGTTTATCAAAAGTCCAATATTCATGTATGCAAACAAATAATACATACAGCTAAAAAGAGCCTTAGAAAATTCTTGTCCAGCCACATAAAAGTAATTTCCAACATTTCTGACTTATGAAATATAATCTTTCACTATTTTATAAAAAGAAATTATAAACTCTCCTGTTGATATACTTGATGGCCTCACCGGGGGTGTGAAACCTTTCCGGTGCCGCTCTTAGCAAAGCGCGTATGTCCCCGCTCGACTTTTGATATAAGCAGTCCAGAATAACAGGGCTATGGACCGCCCTAGGAAGGTCTGACCCTTCTACTGTCTTTATCAGCCTATTTGCAAAATCCTGAAATGACTCCGTGGGGCCCTGTGTAATTTCTGTCCAAGGGGTAGAGGGCTCTGCATTCCTTGCGAGCCTTCTAAACGCCTCTAAAGCGGCGTCAGATGTAGCTATCAATTCCCCAGGTCTCAGGTGGATAACCTGAGCCTGGGCAGTTAACAGACCTGGTGCGCTGCCCATCAATCTCTGAAGGTCGGAGTTACGTAATACGTTCGCTGGATCGTTTTGCACTATAACCAATAACTGTCTAAGCCGGGCCTGCCACTCCTCCTTCCACAATGTATACTGCACCGGCTTCAAAACCATACGCATCAAATTCTCTATATCATAGGGTAGGAGAGGCCCCTGTGCGGTAAGGTTCTCGAGGGCATTCATCGTCAAGGGGGATTTCAAACCCTTTTTCTCAACTGCCTCAAGCACCCTCGTGATCCCTTTCGGATCTAGAGGAACCCAAATTGGGCCCTCGTCTGAGACCACAACCGGAAACGCAGCTGGATTCGCTAGGCCCTTTTCTTCCGCTACCTCTTTAATTTTAGCCCAGTCGGTAACCGGGCCCCCCCCCCCGGCGCGGGCTCCCTCCCGGCCGCGGGCTACCCCCCGGCCGCGGGCTCCCCCGCCCCGCTCCGCCCACCGCCCTATCGCGTTCTTCAAGGGGCGGTTCTGGCTGAGACGTTTTGTCCAAAGAAGGGCATAAAGACGGGGCAGGGTAAGGTGGGGGCGGAGCTGTCGGCTCACATGACTGACTCGGCGACTCCTTCTTCTCCGTCTCTCCGCCTCCGCTCTCTGCCGTCGCCGCCATCTTGGCCTCGTCGGATCCGGATCTATGAGAAAGCAAAGACCCGCTCCCGGCAGCCCCCGTCACGCTCCGATCCTCCCCGAACCCTCCTTCTGCCTTTGCCGCTTTAAGAGCCCCAAGTATCAAGCCCCATGTTTTAAGCTCTGAGGCTTTTTGGTCGGACATGGCGCGCTGGCACAGCGCCGAAGTAAGTGAGTCCCACTTATTTGAATCGAGCACCTGTTGAGGGGAGTCCAGCTCACCCTCCTTTTCTAGCCGCGATAACACGGCCGCAATCTCCTTCTTAGAAGGAACGGTCTTACCGCAATAACTTTTACAAAAATATAAAAGTACCTTAATTACTTGATCCATAATTACACACGCGACCTGCCGCCACCTCACAGGTTCCACCGCAGTGTGTCTTCCGTAGGCGACCTGCCGCCACCTCACAGGTTCCACCGCCTTACGGGCACGCCGGGCAGCTACTACTCACAGGGTGAATCACGTCGGGGTCACCACTTGTTGCCGCTCTCTCTGCATCATTCGTTTTCCACCCCATAAGATGCTGCTTTGCCAGCGAAACCGACCCCTAACCAGGTCGGGGCCAAATGCTCACACAGACCCCAAGTATAGGTGAAGCAAAATGGCGTTTATTAAAATGTAGCAGGCACTTAAATATTCTCGTCCCGCTTTGTCTACACCCCTTGCATACACGCTGTCCTATTATGGGACAGCACCTGGCAAGCCCTGAGCATAGGGAACCTGACCCCGTCACACACCGTCTCCTCGCCACGCCTACTACACTCTCCCTATCACAGAAATTATTCTCTGAGAGAGCAATCCTGCTTATGTCCATTTGATGTTGGCACTTAGCATATGTTCTAGCTATCTAATGATTGCCTCTCAATAGTGTGAATATTTCCTTAATTCAGTTACATATTTTATTAAACAATAATAAGTTAATAAAATACTTTCAATAAGTCAGTGGAGACTTATTGCCATGCCAAAGAAAACTTAGACTTTAGATCTGCTGCTGGCCATTACCTACTTGAAGCAGTAGAAAAGCAAGATGCAGACTATGACTCCCAGGCAAATTTGACACAGGATTGACATTAGATAGCACTCTATATCACAATTCTTATAAAACATTTAGAATACAAACAAATACATTTTTTTTTTTCTTCTTTCCTGTAAGAGGACAGTTGTCTAATCTTAATACATTAAATTTTACCAAGTGTAGGTAAATGTAAAATAAGAATTTTATTATGTTATAAATGCTGAGAAATTTGAAGTACTCTTAAAAAAGGGCTGTATGAGGATGGAATTAAACTAAATAAAACTAAACAAAAATCCACAGGATATTAATATATCCACACAATATCACCATTTTTATTTTATCTACTTGTGAGAATAAAATAAATAAATAAAAAGAAATGGATTAAACATTTGAAAAGATTGGGAAGTATCTTCTGCTCTACATCGATGGGTAACCTTCCAGTCTTCTTCTCCTAAAGTCTTTAAGATCCTTATGAGATACTGAAGGAGGTTTGGAGGGAGAAAGTGAAATAATTTTCTCTTCTTCTTCTTCTTCTTTTTTTTTTTTTTCAATTGATCTATCTCCATCTTTATATCACTGACACAGAACTCATATCGAGGACACACTAAACAAAGAAAAGAACATTTTTTGGTGCTTGTTTTATTTTTGTTTGAAATATACTGGCTTGTGTCAAGTACAGTATGCTGTGAAGCAATTATGTTATATTACTACCCCCTCCCATGGAGAATGTTGTATTAGACATGCTGTACAAATTAATTATTCATTAAAAATGAACATATATTCATGCAAAATTTAAGATAGGAAAAGATAGACTCATATATTTCATCAAAAATGGGATGGGAATTTTGATGAATAAATATTATTTTAAGGTACAATTCATCTTACATCTTATAGAAGTCTGCTTTAAAATGAGATGAGCTATGCTGTAGCAATTACAATTTATCTCAATGGTTTATGTAGGGAGTTTAGGGACTAGCAGAGATACGGATATCTATATGCATTTAGATGAGTTATCTGCATTATATAACTACACAGAAAATATGTACACCACTTATACATGTTTTCTTAGAGTTTAAAGCTGAAAATACCCATTTGGAAATATGAATTTGCTTTTTTTTTTTTTTTTTTTTTTAAATATGAAAATCGATTAAATGAATTACATTTATATTATTGCACTCTATTGATTTAGAAGATGGAGTACAAAGGCACATCACACAAAAATTGTTCACCTCTGTATCCACCCTTTCATAGTTATCTGACCTAGGTGCAACAAGTAAACATTTTTTCATTTCAACAAAGTGTGTTGATAAGTACTACTGTTTCAATGGTTTCATTGTTTGAATGATATATAAAAAAATATATGTAAAAGAAGGACAATTCTGTATGGTAGATTGTATTGAAAAGTGAATATAAATCAGGGATTGATAAGTGAATATAAATCAGGGATTGATGAGGGTAAAGCTCTGATTTTTCTCTAATTCTTTAACTCAGAAAATTTTTGTAAGGATAAAGAAAATATTTGTGTTGCAAAATAGATACTTTGACTCAGAACTTCCCATCTTACAGAAGTTAGATTCAAAGGCTAGAGCACACCTACCCAATGAGTCACCATTGCAACACTTAAACCCATTTTGTCCATTTTGTCCTGCAGTATCACTTTGGGCCCTCACAGGACTGCTTGAACTTTCTTCCTCCTTAGGAGGAAGACCTTCCTTCCTCCTTCTTTGAAGGTAATATTTTATCCAGAGAGCCCAGATTATAGGAGTGGATTTGAAGAATTTAGCTTTTGTTTATTTGTTTTTAGATATTTTTTCTTTGTTTGTTTGCTTGTTCATTTGTTTTTTTCTCTGAGGAACAAAATGAATACATTGTAGAGGTGGAAGTCATATGATGACGTAAGTAATGATCTTCTTTGCAGATCTGTGATTCTTATAATAATTCAAACCTGTTTTGAGACAGACAGACAGACAGACAGACAGACAGACAGAGGAAGGAAGGAAGGAAGGAAGGAAGGAAGGAAGGAAGGAAGGAAGGAAGGAAGGAAGGAAGGAAGGAAGGAAGGGGTAGTGAGGAAGTGAGGAAGTCTCACAGTTGTTTTTTTTTGTTTTTTTTTTTTTTTCCTTATTGCAAATTTATTATTATTATTATTATTATTATTATTATTATTATTAATACTATTGGGAGATTTATGCTTTTTGATGAAACAGAACTAATAAAATAAATATCTAGGAAAAGATAAGGGATATGAAGCTCTGCCAGGCTGATTAAAATTGAAAGGACCACACAAAATTGAAAGTGAAATGAAGATGCCAAACTGCAAGCACCACTTGACATTCATTTAGGAAATAAATTAGCTAACAGAAGATGATCTTAAACTGATGTATCACTAATGAAAGCTCTAATACTGCTTTACTAATGCAAATGCACTATACACACAAGGTTCATCTGTTCTGACATGGATAGTAAGATTATTTGTTAATTTTCTAAATAGAAAGACAAGTGATATGTATATGATGGCAACAAAAAAAAAAGAAAAGAAAATACTTTTTTATTGTAGAACTTAATATTTTCTTGCAACAGTTTATAAAGCTGAATGAAAAATACATTTTAATGATGTTTAAATAAATATAAATATTTCTAAAGAAAATAAAGAATATTTCCATATAAGTTATTTTATTTATTATTTGGCAGACACCTTCTAGAATTCTAAACAGCCAGCTTTTTAGATTATTCTGAATAGCTTTAGGGAAAAAAATGATTAAGGGCAGAAAGAAATCTCAAGATTTTATATTTATACTGATACTTTACCCCCCCCAGTTTTAGAGCTCATATTTTCCTATCCGTATCATGTCTTTGCTTAAGGAAATATAGCAAATGTTCTCATAGAGTGCTCTGCAGCAACAGATAAGGTGCTTCTCCAGGTGTGTGAAAAATTTGATTTTAAATGACTCTAAAAGATGTCTTTCTAGAGATACATCCTGACTATTAATACACACCCTACTTTACTGTACTCAGCAATTTTACTCAGCGTTTATCCAACAAAGAAATCAAAGTTAGTTCTTGTGATGGTGGGGTATGATTTAATAATACAAAAATTTTCCTATCCTAGTTTTGGGATTTACAACTCATTTCCCTAGCAGGTTAGGTATTATATTTATATATTTCTTGAATTATTCTATAGATCTTAACTTCTTGAATCCTTTCCAAGCTTCATATTTATAAGTTTACTACTGTGAACTTTCTACTGTAATAACTTCCTTTTACTGCTGAAAAAATTCTTCAGTATTATGGAGCTTAATTGCAGAATCACAGAATCACAGATTCTGTCGGGGCTGGAAGAAATCATCTCATCCAACCCCCCTGCAAAACAAGCCTCCTGCAGTGGGGTACACAGGTAGGCGTCCAGGCGGGTTTTGAATATCCCCTGAGAAGGAGAATCCACAGCCTCTCTGGGCAGCCTGTTCCAGTGCTTCGTCATCCTTACCATGAAGAAGTTTCTTCATATATGGGTGCAGAACTTCAGATGGTCAATTTTGTAGCCATTTCCCCTTGTCTCACAGACCACTGAAAAGAGATTGGCCAGGTCCCTTTGACTCCCACACTTAAGATATTTATAAATTTTAATAATAAGAACACCTCTAGTCTTCTTTCCTCAATGCTGAACAGACCCAGGTCACATAGCTTTCCCTCATAAGATAGGTTCTCCAGGCCCTTTATCATCTTTGTGGCTCTCTGCTGGATTCGCTCCAGAAGATCACTGTCTTTTTTGTACCAGGGAACCCAGAACTGGATACAGTACTCCAGGTAAGGCCTGACCAGTGCAGAGCAGAGGGGGAGGATCACCTCCATTGGCTTCCTGGCCATGCTCCTTTTAATGTACCCCAGGATCCCCTTGGCCTTCTTGGCCACCAGGGCACGCTGCTTGCTCATGGCCAACCTTTTGTCCACCAGGACACCCTGGTCCCTCTCTGCAGAGCTCCTCTCCAGCGGGTCATCCCCCAACCTGTATTGATACTCATAGTTATTTTTTCCCAGGTGCAAGTTTCTACACTTGCTTTTGTTAAACCTCTGGTTTCTTGCTGCCCAGCTCTCCAGTCTGTCCAGGTCTTCCTGAATGGCAGCATGGTCTTCAGGTGTATCAGCCATTCCTCCCAGCTTTGTATAATCATCAAACTTGAGGAGGGTGGACACAATCCCCTCATCAAGGTTGTCAATGAAGATATTGAACAAGACTGGGCTTAGCACCTACCCCTGGGGAACACTGCTAGTCACAGGCCTCTAACCAGATTCTGCACCGCTTATCACAACACTCTGATCTCAGCAAGTCACTGTCCACTCATCTATCCCACACATTCTCAGTTTCATTATGGGGATGTCATGGGAGACAGTATCAAAAAACTTGCTGAAATCAAGGTAGATGCCATCCACTTCTCCCATCTACCCAGCTGGTGATGCCGTCATAGAAGGCTACAAGATTGAACAAGCACGATTTTCCCTTGGTAAATTCATTTGGACTATTCCTGATGACCTTCTCTTCTAATTGTTTGGATATGGCATCTAGA